TTGAAGCTCGACCCACCTGAAGAGTCTCAATGTATGATGGTTGAAAGCCGGATTCGAGTGCGTCTCGGATCATGATGATGAAGTGCTGGAAGATTGTTGATAAAGATTAGCAGACCAGAACCGGGCCAGGGTCGGCTTTAGAGCTTTTAGAGTCAACTCGACCTGAGCTAAGCTAAGAACTAATAGTAAGCTGAAGGTCATAGTAAACTAGAACTGGACTGGATCAATGGGCAAGTTCGGGCAACGGTAGGGTCTAGCTAGGCCAGACCAGGCTAGTGACAAGCTATCTTAAGGTCAAGCCAGTCCAGGTCATATCTAGCTGCTAGGCCTTATTGGGAATGAAATTTCTATATTTGAAAATAGTAGCTGATTTTTAGATTCGAAATTTACCTGTCCCGCCCTTTCATCGGTCCTTTGGCTGAAGGCAAGGAAAAGATTCAGCGAATCCAGATCCTGGGCGTCGATTTGCGTTCGAACATTGAAAATCTTTAAACTTCTTTGGAACTGAAACCTAAAACCCAGTTCTACCTTGATGGAAGACATAAGGAGTGAGATCGAAAAGATAATCGCCGAATCGATCATGTCACTCGTCGTGTCAAATGTGCCTTGAGTGTCCATGAGGATGACGGCCAGCTAGGATGTCGATGATATCAGATTTTAAATGGAAATTATCTATATTTACCTCCTTTCCTTCTTTATCTTTTCTGATGAAAACCTTTGGCCAAACCATGATCCCCTTTGTGTGCCGAATGTATCCAGATTGAAAACGGATACCGTCATGACCACTAAGACAAAAATTTACATATAACTAATGTCTCGTTAATGAATTTGATTGTATAATTTTACCTAGACAGCCTCAAGCACTGTACTTATTTGGGTACAAAACTACACTAGCTAACCGTATGCTATTGTAGCTGGAGGATACTGTAACTAAAGGATACTGAAGTTAAAGGATACTTTAACAGAAGTATATAGTAGCTAAGGGATACTGTAACTAAAGGATACTGTAGCTAAAGGATACTGTAACAGAGTACAGTATCTAGCTAAGCATGTAGCTAGTTCTAAATCTAATACCCAATATAGTCAGTCGGTTTAAAATCGGCTTTTCCTTGTTGAAGCCCTTTCAACAAAACATTGTTCCAAAAGGTTTTCCCTTGTCGAAATTTTCCGGCTGTTGAAATGATGGAAACCTGAAAAGTTTTATATTTTGAATTAGTTTGGAAAGTATCTAGGTCTTCAAAAGCATCTAGTTTTCACATTTTCATTTTCAAGAACCAACCGGTCTATCACCGATCTGATCACAGAGATCGTCGAGGACTTCTTTCTTGAAGATGGTTTCCCCGTCTTCAGTGATATCGAATAATTGAACGAGATTCGTTTCTGCCTGAACTTTTGCCTGAACTTATTTATATTCAAAATTGTGTGTCATTTATCAATTGTAAGATTACCTCAATATTTGGCTTCTTGTCATCTCCCGGATTTGGCTGTGGATCTTCGTTTCCTTCGGCTGATGTCTCCTGAAAGCAAGGCTGAATGTACTTTGTGCTTTAAACGTAAAGACATCATGTCTAGCATACTAAATTCTTTATTTAACATTCTTTAGTAGGTTCTTTGTAAAGATACTTTGCGCTCCATTATAGTAGATTCAGTAAATGCTCAACTTTTAGGCAAATCAAATCAAACCAATCAAATCCAAGGTCAAACCAATAACTAAAGCTTTTTTAAAAAATTTTTCTAAAGACTTTTATCTAATAGAAGTTTATCTAATCTATCTAAAGCTTAAAACTTACCGTAGCCGTGTCATCGAGTACTTGAACCCTTTCTTCAATCAATTCCACACTTGATCCCTCCAATTGTTGCTGTTGCTTGATCTTCAATCGGTGCATTTCCTCAAGAATTTGTGGATTCAAATCGGTGGACCTCTGGAATTAGGAATTAGATGAATTTTTTAAAAACCTTTTCATTTCCGATAAAGCAAACCTTTCTCTGCAGCAAATAGTTCACTTTTTTCAGCGCCTTGTTCACGTTGTCGAGTTTCCCGACGGCTGAGAAGAGATCCTAGACAAATTTCAATACTAATTTTACGAAAATGTAAAATAAAATCGGTAATCAAGATCTCTATTCAAACATTTTTTGTTTCGTATCCTTGCAAAACGTATTTTCCTTGCGAAAAATATCGTTTTGGGGAAATGATAAGCGTTTTATGATCTTAATCTTTTCCAATTCCATTTCTCATATGTTTACTAGATCACAAGTTTGTTGAGGAATTGAAAGCACTGAAAAAGAGAGCAAAAAATCGATACCTCTTGCGCTTGATAGCGGCAGGCTTCTCTCGTTTCCTCACTTTCGTTAGGGAAATGGTCGATCACCTAAACAAAATGATCAAGAAATTACTTTTCATTTAAAAACTTGAATTCTATACTTTCTTCATAGCTTTTTATAGACTACACTTGGAAAAGTGTTATATAAGCAAGCAAAAATACTGTAGCGGGACTCGAACCCACTCGCCGGTATTAGAGCAGTTTACCAATTGGCCACGGCTGCTAAGACAGCCCGACTTGAGTTAACCTCTTAAAGGGAGCCCTACAACGGCTCTTTATACTTGATCAATTATTCAATTCGATTGTCTACTGTAAGCTGTAATAAAATAAAGAAATGAATGGCAAAGAATTTTAAACCGAGGGGACTTGAACCCCCGACCTTTTGTTTACCGGGCAGATGCTCTACCACTGAGCTATCCAGCGTCTGCTTATCAGAGAAGAAAGAGGAAATACATGGGGAAAAGAGAAAGAGAAAAAAGAGATAAAAATACTCGACTCTGCACAATCTTGGGCAGAAAACGGGCATTAGTAATCAGTAAGGAATGGCAAAGAAAGAGTTAAGTAAGTTACAGTACTCTTTCAGTTCATTTATAAAGATTTCGATTTAAGCCTTTAACTCACTTTCAATTGATCCAAGTAATTCCCAAAGATCAAATCCACGTCATCGGTTATCGGTACTTCTCTCTCGACGCCATTTTCCACTTCCCATTCGCTGCTCGAGCTCTCGGATTGGCTTCGAGTTCGAGGCATTCTAGAAAAAAGCTTTAAAACATTAAAACATTAAAAATATCAAAGTGTAAATCTTGAGATATGAGTGTTCTATCTATCAAAGTAAAGATTACGGTAGCTATTGTAGGAATTGGATACGGTAGGGCAAACTAGGCTAAGCAGGGCAAGCTAGGCTAAGCAGGGCAAGCTTTTGTAGATATCATAGAAAATTCTAGCTTACCCAATCTAGTTTACCGTATAGAAAGTCAACTGCAGTACAGTAATCAAGGTTTAAGAACGAAGATATTTAGCTTAAAATTTAAAGCCAGTAAAGATACTATAACTTGAAAAGGATGAAAATAAATTTTAAACGTGTCTAGCCTCACACAGATAGCAAATTCTATGGCAACAGGAAAATCGCTTTGTGCCGAGCATTCAAAAACTTGCGACATTAAAAGACTCACAAATTGGACTGTAATCGGCAGGTGTACTTTGTACTCGAAAAGTTTTGAAACACGCTCCTTCTAGCTCACTTAATGCTGTATTTCCGGGTGAATGTCAAGAGAAAGTGGGGAATCAAGTGCACCAGAAAGGGAGCTTAAAAAGGAGCTCAAGGTACGAACAAATGGAACTAGATGATTGAGGAAAGTTGAATTGGACAAAAGCAACTAAATCAAGTGTGCCAGAAAGGGTACTTTTAGACATTTACACAAAGTAAATCCGAAGAATCAACTGATGCTACAGAAAAATGTTCAGATTTTTGTTTTTGATGAAATTTTCCCCAAATACCCTTGCATCACCCAAAATTTTTCTTCAGCAACCAAATTTTTATCTTTTTTATTGCTGAGCTGGGCTGGGCTGGAAAAATAGCCGACGAAAAATGTGTTGCAAGAAAATTTTCTGAAGAAAGTTGAATGGAAAATTGATTTGAAAAAGATCAACAATAGTTTAAATTAATATTTTTTGTTTGTAAATTTTAAATTTTATTGAATTATCGATTTCTTTTTTAAAAAGAGCCATTTTTGGGCTTTTTTTCTTTTGTGATTTCTATTGCACAAGAAAACTACGCTTTTTCCTTTTTTTTCTCAATTGATGACCTTGAACTGGGTTTAAATCCTATTTTTTTTATGTGAAAAAGTTTCAAATTTGATTTTAATTTGCTATTAATTAATTAATTTATCTATTTATCTATTTATCTATTATTTAATAATTTTATTTGGTTTATTATCTAATTTTTCTATTATCTAACAGATAAATTTGGGCTCTTGTATAGTTTTCGAGTATTTTGAGTGAGTCGTCTGACTTTGAACGCCTATAACTTTATCCAGAGACAATATTATGGCTAACCTTTTATATCATTTTAAAGAAGACATTTCAGGCTTTTAAATGATACTAAAGAGAGCTTGACTAGATTTTTCATTCCTATGCAAACAGGCGACACGACAACGGAGTCGGATAAGCCTCATTTGCTCAGAGTTGGCTACGATTTCTCTGGACTGGATTATCAAATAAAGCTCTATTTGGTATCATTTAAAAGCTTGAAATGTCTTCTGTACAATGATATAAAATGTTAGTCATAATATTATCACTGGACGAAGTTATAGGCGTTCAAAGCCAGACGACCCGTTCAAAATACCCGGAAACTACACAAGAGCCCAAATTTGTACTTAGAATTTTTCACGGTACTTTTCAGTTACATTAAACTTTAAACACACCCTTTCTAGCACACCACGGTAAATTCAGTGCGCCAGAAAGGGTATGCTTAGGGATTGTTCGAGCAGAAAGTACAATACAATTAAAGCCTTTACTTTCAGTTAAAATAGTTTGACTTTCACTGCTTCTGGTGTACTTTGTGCTCAACAAAATGTAAACACACACTTTCTAGTGCACTGAGCTCTTTAATTCACTTTGCATTGAGCTTTAAGATGCTAAACTCAAAAATAAGACAAATTCCAGAATTCAATGTGAAAAATGGACACCAAAAGATCACAAAATGGACACAAAAAGACTTCAACTCGTTTCCACTTTGCTCCAGCAAGTTTATTGGACCTTAAATCGAATAAATAATAAAATTAGAATAGAATTTAATGAATTCAATTCAATGAATAGAATAAAATGAATAGAATTCGATTTCTAGATGAAAGAAAACGAGCTGAAACCCTTGGTGACTTTCAAAAACCATCGAATTCAATTCAACGAGATTATTGCTCGGGAGACTTTCGCCAATGAGAAATTCAGTGATAAAAAGGTTAGAATTGACTTTTTCAGTGTTTTAAGAAGGTAAAAGAAATCATTGAAAAGAAAAAGAAAATGGAAAGCCGAGGAAGGGATCGAACCCAAGCAAAGACTTGATAGTCGGTCTTGAAAGGAGAGCCTTATCCAGTACATCACAGGCTCATATTTAGACGCGGTGAAGCGTTATACAGAGAAAAAAAAAGCCATTTTTGAGCTCTGGCAGGTCCTGGTCTAGCATCTAGCTTTGACTAGCCTGGCCTAAGTGTAGACGCAAGGTTCCTCCGGCTCTGGCTATCGCCAGAACCCAGGCTTCGACTTCCTATTAGCTTCTTCTAGTTCTAAGACACAGTTGCAACATTCCTAGTTATAACTCTAAGGTCAACTTGCTTCAGATCACTCTCGTCAGCGTAATGGGACCATCGCGATCCGGCAAAAGCTTTCTGATGTCAATTTTGACTGGTGGGCGACAAGGAAACACAGTCAGGTCAGCTTTTAGAGCAATTCACAGACGTTTTCTTTATTTCCTAAAAATGTACCGACTTTCTCGACTACCGTAATATAGTTTAGCCAGTTCATCTTCTTTTTTCATCTTTTCATATCCTTTGTGTGAAACCGCAGAATTCGTCTAAAAGTAGAGAGATTGATTTAAAACTAGAGACAAGATTACGAGAATTAGCTGGATACAATCTACAAGAGTTATCTACAAGTTAAGATGTTTTCTTGTGACTCTTACTCTTAATGACTCTTCTTGTGACTTTTTCTAATGTATTTGCATTTAAACTTCCACAGTTTCCCATGCAACTTTGCATTTAAACTTCCCCACTTTGCCTTGCATAATTTTAGTCCATAATTTCCGTTTAATTTTAAAAAAAAAAATATATAAAAAAAAAAAAAAATTAATCTAACCCAAATGGTAAGAATGTAATGATAATATATTAAAAAATAAATTAAGAGATCAAAATGAGTGGCCTAAGAGTCATGGGTCACAAGTTCGCCATAGCATACTTATGACTCTTACGACACTCATTCTTAAATGCAAATTAATTTTCAATGCAAAGTGAGCAGCGTAAGAGTCACGCAAATACCAGTTAAGCGCAATTTTTGACTTATAGAGGAGCCTTCAAGACCGGGTATGAGCGGTGCACGGAGGGGATTCTCGTTTTCACTCAACCGATGATTTCTGAAGATGTGAGTGAGACTTAGATTTAGAGTAAATCAAAGTATGAATTGTGGATTTATTGATTTGTGGATTGTGCTTTTGCAGAACTTTTGAACTTTCGACTCTGTAAACTTTCAAATAAAATGCAAGATTTCTTTGTTTACCACTTTTCAGTGATGAGTGAACGTCAAGGAGTGATAAGAGTGAACTAAGAAATTCGTTCAGAAATAAAATTCTGGCGTTGAATTGATTTCTGAGCCAAGGAAATGGAAAAAAGAGAGAAATTGTGACGATAAAATTATATAAATTTCAGGGAAATCATGTGGTTTTCTTTTGGATACTCAAGGGACATTTGATCTACAAACGGAGAGGAATATCTCCTCGTGGATTGCTTGTTTCAGTCTGTTGATCTCAGATATCCAGGTATGCAATTGACCAGACCAGGCCAGGTCAAACCCTTGGTACTGATTGTAAGCCAGGGATTAGAAGAAGGCAGGATCAAGTCAGGATTAGACTAACCAGGCTCATGATAATAACTGTAAGCCATGCTAGGACTCGACCAGGTTAGAGGCAGGCTAAGGCCGGTCCAAAACCAGAACATGCCTTGGCTTAGGCTTAGGCTTAGGTTAGGCCAAACCTAGATAGGACTCAAAGCAGTTCAATAGACGAGGCTAGGATAAGCCAGGATAGGATAAGCCAGGCTATGATAGGCCAGGCTAGAATCAAACAATGACTGGCCAAGTTTAATCCCGTCAGCATTAAACCAAGTCAAAGTTGTGGTTCATAATCTCTTACACTTTTCAGCTCGTGAACTTAAAAGGAAACATCGGCGGTGACAACCTTCACGATTTGCATTTGTTTATCGAAACGGCTGGAGCTTGTCCAAAGACTGAACTAGCAAAAGTATCTATATAAACATCGCTGTACCTGGCTTTTTAGAGTTTAACTTTTGTGATCAGAGATGCGCCAAAATGGCCGGAGAATGGTTTTCTCGAGAATCTTTGGGTGAGTGATCGTGAATATTCTCGAATCCAGAGATTTAGTCAGAATGCAAAAAATCGAGGGATCTTAAAGAGATCTCTGAATCGCTGCAGAAACGTTTCGAGAATGGAATCCACTGTTTTTGTTGCGCGACCGCATCAGATGAGATTCAGCGGGCAACGGGGACGATTGAGTTGACGGATGAGGGTGAGTAGCTGCAGGCTGTTATTTCTTGCCATATTATTTGTATTTAAATTGATTATAGACTGTACAGAGCTACAGGCTAGATTACTTTCTATTTCTATAATTAGAATAACTATCTATAAGTAGGTATTGCTAAAAATGAGTGTATTTAGATCAAAATTTCATTGGTTGTCTCGATAGAGTTGTTGACTTTGTTCAAAAGAATGCTCACCAATGTTACCGCAAACATTTCGACTACAGTGAAGCGGTAAAGGTATGGCAAATTTTGATCTTTAAAAAGTTATCTATTAGAAAAGTTAGGAGAAATCAAATGAACTCAATAGTTTCAGCGAATCGTTCATTACCTTGAAAATGAGGCGCCAAGACTCGAATCGACCGTAAAGGTTAGAAAAGTTTACTTTTACTGAAATAAATATTCAGTTTTATAGTTTATAGTAGTTTTATAAATCTTTTAAACTTTTTAAAGTTTAGGATAACACAATTTGATTCCGTTTAGATGACGAAAGCAGCGAGCATCTCTTTTGCTGTGAATAAAGCCTTTGATATCTTCCAGAGCGCTTTGAAAGTAATAATTCAGATTTTATTAAATCTTATTGTTTATAGGGAGCAACCAGTGATAATATTGAAGCTGCTGAAAAGTCTGGTCGAAATTCTTCAGAAAAAAAACTGAAAGAGCTTTTGAGAGAGGCGAATGTCGAGGAAGCGAGAGCACTTTTAGAGCCAAAAATTCAGGTTTAGAAGTGACAATAAGGCTTAGGCTAGATTTAGCACTGAATTTATCACTAGATTTGCAATAAAATTTAGGCATTGTTGGCTGAAAAGCAAAGAGAATTCGAAATTCAACAAGAAGAGAAGGCTTTCTTGGAACGAGTTGAAGCTTTCGCGAGGAAGTGGAGAGCCGAGATACCGAAGGTAATGGAAAATAAAACACTCTTTAGAGAATCTTCTCTCCTTAGATCAGCTGGGTAGCTGAGGAGTACGGTAGCTGAGGATACAGTATGGTTACTGTAGGGTACCGTAGAGAACTGTAAGAGTACTGTAAGAGTACTTTCAGATTCACGATTTGGACCAGGCACAGCGCTTGAAACGAAGCTTTTCTATCAAAAATGAAGGTCTCTCGAGCTCGATTCCCGATCCAATGATCAAGTCCTTAGAGGTGAGGAGTTTAGAGTTATTAGAGTTGCCTCGAGTTATTCTAAATAACTCTAAGCAATGACACTTATGTGGCAGTTAGCAATGACAGTTATAGAGTGTTTTCTAGACATTTGCATTTTCCATCCCTTCGTCGATAGGTGTACAACGGAAAGACACGTCTTAAGCCCTTTAAAATCGACGTTTTTTTCATTGTTGTATAGCATTTTGCAAGCTCTATTGGTGAAAAAACATTTGACTAAGAGAAAACAAGAGATGAAAATGAGTTTATAAGTTTGCCTTATATATTTCAAATTGGAGAATATCTAGATGCAGTTTAGAATGCGCATTACTTCACATTTACATGACAATTGCTTGAGGAAAAATCTTAAATACAAGTTTAATCAAGTAATTGCCTAATTTGAAAATAGCACCCTCTAGTTATGTACATTAACTACAAGAAAATAGATATGAGATAAACATTGGCTAAGTCTAAGTCCCTCTGAAGTATCTTTTTCTGTTATAGGACATGTTGGACCGTCGAATCACAATACTTCTAACTGCCCATATTGAGAAATCGTTCTCAAAACTGAAAGTCGAGTTTAGTCAACAGCTACGAGAGGTAAGGTTTCTTAGGTTACAATTTGGATAAACCAGTTTCAGACAAAATTTGACTCTCACCAACTTTGGAGGATGGTCAAGCAAAAGTCAAATTGATGATCGAAAAGTTGAGAGAAACTTTGGATTCACAAGAGTTACCTGAAAAGGAATGGGGATTAGTTGAAGAGAAGTGTCAGACAGAGTTGATGGTTGGTAGCTAAACTTGATGCAAATTGCAATCAATCGAATATTGAATCAACCAAATTCAATCGATTATCAATCTACTTATTTAGAAGATTTACACCCAATCTCTTGATTTTATCGAAAAAGATCTCGCGTTGAGGCGAGAGACGAAACGGATGAGAGAGATGAACACAAAAGTCGTTTTGGATGATGCCATTGAGAGCTTTGAAACGACTGTAAAGGTAAAAGTAGCTTTTGTCTAATCCAACTATAAAATGATTAGTTAATGATAATTTCTTTTGTAATTTTTAGAGAAGCAATGAAGATTCTTTTGAAAGGACTGTTCATCGAGCAAAGCAAACAGGGATCTCAAATCTAGAGAGATTACTCGATGCTGAGAGTTCCCCTAACGCTATTGAGGAGTTTAACGCCAGAGCACAAGTGATTTTGATAATATAAATAGTTTAGCTATTAGGAATTGCTTTTTAGCAATAGTTAAGGTCCTTTTTGAGTCTAGTTGTTGATTCTAGAATGATATTATCTGATAAGATTTAGGTTATTTCTGATCAGAGAAAAGTGGAGCTCAACAATGAAAGAAAAAGCCAGAGAGAAGCGAGAAAACGGTTGAAAGAAGAAAAGGAAAAGATGAATGCAAAAGGTTTGTAATTTTTCAAAAATTAAAATCAAAATCGATTTAGTTACTGAAAGAAAAAACTTCAAGCGTTGTAGAAGTGATTCCACCAACTTGACACTCGAGACGTGCAACAACAGCAACAACATTAACAACAACAAGGCATAAAGCTGTTAACAGATAGGAGGAAAGACGAAAAAGACAAAAAAGACTTTCTGAAAAGCCTAAATAAAAACAATCTCTTTCAGCTAGACAAGAAAGTGGCTCAAAAAGTGGATAACTTGACAAAACCAAAGCCAAAACCTAGCAAAACTGTCGATTTCTCTGCGCCCAGTCCTTCCTACATCCATTCATATGCCGAGACCGAGTTTATTTTTGAACTTGGCGTATTCCGGAGCATGTTAAAGGTTTGAAAATTATTTTTGAACTATTTTTGAATTATTTAAAAAATTATTTGAAAGATAGTAAGGCTAGAAAGTTGATAAAATTCTATTTACAAGCTTTTCTCCATGACTTTGTAAGCGCTTTTTAATCTGACTTTTGAAATTTGACCATCATCTGACAATCTTACGGTAAAGCAGTGGTCGGTAGATTACCGTAATCTTTAGGTTACTGTAGCTCCTCGATTGCCGTAATCTTTAGATTACTGTAGCTCCTCGATTACCGTAATCTTCTTAACCGTGTACTTAATCTAGTTAATAAATCCTAGCAATCTCGTAGATCACGGTAAAAATAAAGCAGGAAACACGGAAAGGGCTAAAACTAGAGCTCTAAGTTAGTTACGGTAACTTAAGGCATAGATTGGAAACTTTATTCGGGCCATAAAAATCAAAACATCAAAACGAAAATCAAAACAAAAACCAAATATCATCTTTACAATGTGAAATGGATAAGCAGTAATGGGTTTAGATTTGAAAGGAAACAGCTTATAAAACAGAGCTTAAGAGGAAACAAAGCTTAGGGAAACAAAGCTTATAAAGATCAAAGCAAACATTTCTAGAGAGGACTCTGACAAAGCAAAGGCTTTTGAAGAAAAGGTGGCGATTGAGAAAGAATATAAAATGCGGTTAGAAGCCGGCAAAATAGCTCACGAAGAAATCTTTCTTTATGTAAACTCACTTCGATATGAAAACGATAAAGTTTTGCAAGAAAAATGGAATCGGCAATGATGTCGGTCAAGAGGTAATAGAGAAATCTAACAGTTAAATAGCACAATTTTAGGGTTACACTGATAGTTTCACTTTGAAAACCACCTTTCCTGACCCCAGCCAACTTTATCGAAGACTTGTACGGAAAAATGGAAAAATGACGTAAGTTTTCAATTATATTAGGGAAATTCTTTAATTAATCTAGTTCTTTAATCTAATCTTTACATTTAATCCTTTTCCTGACTTCTTAAACTAAACAAAATTCAGCGTTTCGGTGACACTCTTGCAATCACTTATGAAGATGTTCAAAAAGAATTTGGCAATCTATTCAAATTGGTAATATCAAAATCATGTCAGTTACAACTTTTTTTTCCAGAAATTCCTCAAATCTCATTCCTTGCTAAACAAATTATTGCTCTAATCGATGAAACGAAGTGATCCAGGAGGAATTTTTCCACTTGACACAAGAACATGATCACGAGAAACGACTGAGGAATTTGCTTGCTTTGACTGCTGAAACTTGTTGGGCTGGGTTCTGGAAGGAGATACAGGTGACTTGGCTATTTAAGAGCTTTGAGATAACTGATTGTGTATGTCAATGATTCATCAGTAGGGTAGATAGACAAGCAAGGTTACGATAGATAGGTAAGCAGGGTTACGGTAGATAGACAAGCAAGTTTACGGTAGATAGCCAAACAGGGTTACGCTAATTTTCGAAAGTAGAAAGTTGAAACTTGTTGGACAGGGTTCTGGAATGAGATACAAGTGGGTTGCCTATTTAAGAGCTTTAAGATGACTGAAACTTCAACCAAATCAACTTCAAATTGTGCTTTTCTTACTCCATAGAATTTATTATCATTTGAAAGCTCTTGGAGTTTCACTATCTTTTGGTAAAAATCTATAGAAAAATGTTTAACTGAGGAAGAGAGTTATGATCGTTGGTAGTTTTAAGAGTAGTCTTTGTAGTTTATAGGCGTCAATATCTAGTGTCTTTGACAGGATCTCACGTTTTAGGAATAAATTCTAAATGCTAAATAGTGGATGTAACGAGAGAATCAAATGTTTAAACAAAAATTAACAAACGAAACTTGTTTCCGGGGTCCACAAATGATGCTTGACTAAAAGTAGTAATCAAAAACTTTAGAATCATTCTTCGACAAGAGATCAACAAGAGATTTGGGAACATCTAAACAATTTGAAGTTGGTGAAGTCAGAAGCTCAAAATAGCCTCAACCTTCACCTCCACCACGTCTCTCACTCGATAATCGGATGTCAATCCCACTCATCTTGATCCTAGGTGCTCTTTGCTTTTCATTGTACAGCTTTTCCCGTTAAAAACCAATAGACACTCCTTGCAAGAATCTCATAATATTGCTACAGCTATTCCCCCAGATTTCTCATATCTGCAAGAACTGAATGCAGCTTGGGAGTACTTTAACTTATGCAAACTTGCAGTAGACAAGTATCTGCAGGCTCAGCAGAATCCCTGCAATAAATCTCAATGTAAAATTAATCAACTATGAAGATCTTTTGTGAAATCATACATTAAGTCAAAATTGTGTATCAAAATGATCGAGTGAACTGGGAAAGTGTTTAAGATTTACAAACTATCTGGTGATTGTGTAGGAACAGTACCCAGACCAAGCCGAAAGTCTCAATTTGTCGGAATTTTCGATTCGCACAACGACAAGAAGGTGAAACGAATAGAATGCACGAAATGGAAGAGGAGAATTTTGCTTGCAACCAAAAGAGAACAACTGCGCAATTTATAATTGAACTGCGAATGTTCAAGTGGAAACATCTTGCTTTTTCGTTCGAACCTCAAGATGTTGAAGACTCGCACATAATGATAAATCCCCAAAATGGATCCAGCAGTGATTCAAGCACAAATAGCTGCAGAAGAAGCGAAGAGTAAAGGGGAAAAACTCGTGACCCTAACGACTAATGATCATTGAAAAGATGTCTATTGAGTCTTGAAACCTTTATGTCTTTTGCTTGTGTGAAATAAAAGGCTAAACAATTTCACGCCAAAATGAGATCCAAATGAGACCCAAATGAGATCCAGAAATTTAGAGCTACGAATTCTTTCCAGTTTTGTCATAATTCCCATTTTAGAACACCTCAATTTTCTAGATTTGTACCTCTTTTCAAGAATTAAAGCATGGCATATCTACACAAGCGATTGTCGAATAAAAGAATTTTGGCGGAATCAAAAGAAGCGTTCAACTTCCAAGCAATGGTCCTTACCTAGTGGTTGCAGGGTTCATCAAACGGTTGGTATAATTAAGCTTTAGATTCCAAGTGTTTCTTAGATTGTATCAATCTAAAAGGACTTTAATCACTCGTGTTAAGACTTATTAAGCTTTAACAGCTTTAGCCGCTTTAAACAGCTTTGAGAGAGCTTTAGACAGCTTTAGACCGTTTTAAACGAAGCTTTAGAGAGCTTTAGACAGCTTTAAACAGCTTTAACAGCTTTAAACAGCTTTAACGAGCTTTTAAACAGTTTTAACTGTAGTGAAAGTACTCAACGATGGTACTTTCACTAAGACTCTAGATATTGTAAGTGCATTTAAAGTCAAATCATACTAATTTTTAAATCAAAACCAATATTTCAGTTAGCCAGCGAACCCCTGCCAGCCTCATCTCGACCTAATTCCGATCTAACACTTCATGCCCAATCCAATCCGGACTTTCCTACGAAAAAACTATTGCTGAACAGTTACCATTGCCTGAATGTTCAGTTTTTATTGGTAATCAAGTTTCTTGCCAACCTCTTATAGCTTATTTTAGTTAGACCTTTTGAAAATGCTTCCCAGCTTATTACTGGACACGAAATTGCTGATTTAAATTTCTTGATTTCTGTTTAAGACCAATGCATCAAATTCCACTTCATTTGTTAATTCTGCTTAACGGAATTCCTTATCGTTTTTCTAAATTTTCTTTAATTTTATGTGATTATTTTAAATGTCGTTTTTGATTTAGAATGAATCCGGAAACTCCTTGGGCAACGCTTATCAGATCGATGGAAGAACGAGTAAAACATTTTTCGAGATTATGTCCAGGTGAATGGTTTTAAGAATCTGGGCCTTGTTCAAACTTTGCTTTCATGATTTTATGAAACTAATTAACATCAAACTGATTGAAATTAAACATCAAAAAAAGCCACTGGTATCGACTTTATCTAGTAGTTAATAAGAAGTCAAGAAAGCCATGTCTTTGGCCTGTTGTTTTGGTCTGGTTTGGGTTGGGTTTTGGTCTGGTTTTTGGTCTGGTTTTGGTCTGGTTTTGGTCTGGTTTTTTATTTGGCTTTGATCTGGTTTTCGTCTGGTTTTCGTCTGGTTTTGGTCTGGCTTTGCTTTTGTCTTGGCCTGATATTTGTCAGCTAATATAAGTTGAATTGGGTTTTATTTTGGCTTGGTCTTGACCGGTCTAGGCCAATCTTGATTTTTCTTGGTTAACCAATGAAAAAGTCAATAGATTAGTCTGACATTTGCTTGGTTTTAGGCCCGAAAAATCCCAAGAATGAGCTCTGAATTTTATATCTCTAAACTCTAGAAGAAGCACTGGATTCTATCTGAAAATCATTTGCTTACCATTTGCTTATTTTCAGCAAATGAGGGAATCAGAAAGATTTCACTCGTGAAGACGTGAAACGCGAGATTTGTCATCAGTGCTCGTTTTTCACCGAATGGACGAATGCTTCCAAGTTCGACCGATGAGCCGATTGATTATTTTCTGGGTACGATTTTCAACGAGTGTAATGAGATTGTATCAGTGGATAAGAGAGCGGATGTTTGGCTTCAAATCGAAAGGTGAAGGAGGGGTTAAGCATTTGTTTTTAGGGAGTGTCAACTTTCAAGGGTCGTAATCTTGTCTCTATTTTTTTGCATCCTTTCAATATTCTTGGCACAGAGAAAAATAAAAGATAAAGATAAAGCAGAGACAAGAGTAAGGCAAAGTTGACAGAAAAGCAGTTCGAGTTACAGAAAAACAGTTACAGTCGATGATAGCTGACTTATTACTGGATTACAATAGTTGAGTATTTTAGAAATACACTAGACTATTTCCTTAACCGTAAAATAGAATTATGAATTAAAAGAATTCGATAGAATAGAAGGAAATCCATAGAATAATACGAGATTCGTATTTCAGTAAAGGCTTGATCAATCTAAACAACCTGAATTGCTATTGGAAAGATTCCACTGTTGAGATGTCGGAAAGGAGATGATGGTGAATTTTGTGAAGAGCTCGAGGTTGTTGAGACAGAATTTGCGGAACTTCACTCGTATACATTGAGCAAAAGGTTTGTTTGATTGAAATTTCCCCAACTTTTAGCAAGTCGAAATAAAAGCTTAAAATTGTTCAAAGATTGATTCGAATGGGTTTGCGAAAGTTCAGAAACTGTATTATGTAACCTAGGCTCCGAACTTATGCATACTATTGTACTGTGGTACTGTTGAAAGCGGACTGGAATTAAAAAATACTCTAGATAAAACATACTGTAGTTATAGACCACGGTAAATAAAGCATACTACCACGGCATACAAAAGTTACGGAGATACGGCTTCATTAATTCGAGTCAACTACTATCTAGTACGGCTATAGGCATACTGGCCGCCCCGACTGTAAAGCCCTGGGCATATATTAGTCCTGGATTGCTGCTGGTTTAAGCTAAAGTTTAAACCTCCAATCCTCCTAATAGCGCTTCAGGATCCATCTCAAGGACGAGCTTGGGGAGACTCAGGAGATGCGCCTGCCGGGCAAACAAATTCGACCTCGAAGAAGAACCGAAGAGGGGATCTTTTCACAGGCTGGTCATGGTAAATCAATTGAATGGTTACTCGACAATGATTTACCAGTCAAAGCTGGACAGACTTTCTTTATGAAGATTCTGGTAACTCCGTTTTGATCCCCGAAATGGTGCACCGGATGAGGACGGCCCCAAAACTGCTCGAATTAATCAGTTGATGAAGAGACTGAAGAGAATAAACCACTTGTTTGGAATTGACGCTTCTTATTTTATTTCCGCCCCAATTTAATGATAATGCCGATTTCAAGAATAATGTTACCCGAATCTTGTGGGTTATCATCAAATCAGATCTCATTAAAATTGATCAAAAGATGAAGCGGTGATTCAGGTTTGACTGGCAGTTTATTTAGTCTTTTAGAAATTCCATTTGCTAGAAATTTTACCCGATAAGCTGCTTTATATAACAATTTTCAAGCATCTACCATCATCTCTTTGATAAACAAAAAATTTTCTGATTCAGAATTCCCCAAAATTCCCAAAATAAAGAAAATATCCATCCTATTTACAGTACCTTTCAGCTGAGTTATCGGCAAAATAATGATCAAAAGCGAAAAGCTTTCAGCTGATCAGATGTTGAGCAGTCGAAACTCTACCAAGAATTACCACTATTCCCATCCCAACGGTTCCTTCCATTGGGGTTTCTTCCAATATTAATTACGATCCCCCCGTGCCTTAATTGATTAAAGAAACATGGTGACAATTGAAAATGTTTGATCAAGCAAAAAGCTTTGAGGCTTTTATCGATTCAATTTGCCGTCGTTCGCTGAACATTTCTTGATAGTAACTTCTTCCCCTCGCCCTTTATATTTCATTTATTCCCCGAGACCAAAAGCCTCCGATCAGTGATTCACCCAACACCTGAATTCGTTTTTAACCCCCAAACTTTATAAACTCATTTTGGGAAACTTATTTACAAGACAAAAAAGTCACTGTATAATTGACTGAGGAGGTATTCTTT